TTTAATGTCTGTCTATGGTTGCTAACAGCAGAGACCTGAAAAACGCCCCTTTTTTGCTCTCCTTGCAATTAATTTGAAACGGTGTGTACCTTGTACCTTTTCTCATCCTCTTGCATCTCTTTTTTACCACACTTGCTCCCTACTCATATGCTCGCACATTCTCCAATTTGAATAGAGCGGCATTGATCTGAAACCACGATCTGTGCTGCGGAAAGAGCTGTCTTGGTACTCGTTTAGAGACATTGGAACACCTTACACAAGACATGACTGTGCAAGCGTTTGATGGCGTAGCGGTGGTTCCCAGCAGTTCTACTTCTTCCACCGGACGTGATGCAAAACTGCAAACGTCGATCGACAAGTTCTCTCCGCATGCGCTGCTATCCTCCCCTCCCTTTCCGGTATCCCCGTCAGCGGCTAAAGCACATTACGAATCGACGGACGTGCGGAAAAGTGGGCACTATCGATCACGCAAACAAGCCATGTTTGGACCCTATTTGCTACTTCAAACGGTGGGAGAAGGTGAATTTGGCAAAGTGAAGCTTGGTATCCATGTGGAAACCGGTGCAGAGGTAAGTTTGAGGTACAAGATGCATGCCGAAGGCGTGTTACGTGTTGCAAAGGTTCCAAACGTGGCAACCCGACTGTGCAACCGCAACTGTCAGTCCACTTACGCGCGTTCCTAGACGGCGGTCAAATTAATCAAGAAGGAGCATGTGGGTACAAGTAGTCGACTGTCCAAAGTGGAGCGTGAGATTCTTGCGCTAAGGGTAAGCACTCCTTCAGCAGTAGACTAGTGTGCTTACCGGTGTGGTCATCAGCGCGTTCGCCATCCCAATATCGTTCGACTGTACGATGTGATTGAAACCGAGCGATACATTGGCATCGTTCTAGAGTACGCTTCAGGTAAGTCACGACGTACGCTATCGGCATGCGACTGATGCACATGGTCCATAGGGGGTGAACTGTTTGAGTACATTTTAGCGCATCGCTATCTCAAGGAGAAGGACGCCTGTCGACTGTTTGCTCAATTGGCCAGTGGGGTCGATTACCTGCACAAGAAGAAGATTATCCATCGAGATTTGAAACTGGTCTGTACGCGTTACTCGTGGTTTGCTGCATGGCTTACGTTTTACTATAGGAAAACTTACTCTTGGACCGACATCGCAACATGATCATCACAGACTTTGGGTTTGCCAACGACTTTGAACAACGTGGAGACGAATTGATGGCCACCTCTTGCGGATCACCTTGTTACGCTGCACCTGAACTTGTGGTGTCTGACGGCATGTACGTTGGAAGTGCCGTAGACATATGGTCTTGTGGGGTCATTTTGTATGCCATGTTGTGCGGTTATCTTCCATACGATGACGATCCCGATAATCCCGATGGGGAGAACATCAATCTACTCTACAAGTATATCCTGACGACGCCGCTCGTCTTTCCCGACTATGTCTCTGCCGAAGCACGGGATCTCTGTCGTCGAATGTTGGTGGCCGATCCTACGAAGCGATATACCATGGTAGACATTATGCGACATCGTTGGGTGTCCACCTATCGATCACTTTTCGCCAAGACCATTGATGAGCTTGAAAAAGAGGCATCTGAGGCGCCTTTGCTGGGCTTGTCGAATTTCGGCAAGGAAGCGTTCCGTGTATCTGAATTCAGGGAACCGCAGGCGCCGACCATGATCAGAGAAGGTCATCACCACCGCGTGTCGATGGACCAAGATGCGCTTCTTGAAATGGGCGATAGTATGACATTGGCGCCAGGAACCTCAAAAAATACGCTCAATGCCTCAGCGGCTTCAGACGACCAGCCAGCCACAGCCGATGACCATATCCCGTCGGCTGCAGCATCGAAGGCTGAGCCGCAAGCCATCGAGAATCCGTTGCCCCTCCACATCACCAAGGCCACATTGAAACCCGCACCCGAACCAACCGCATTGTCCGAATTACTCGCGCCCTCAACATCCTTTGCCCGCAGGCGAATGCCAAGTTCATCCGAGTCTGGCAAGACACGACCCGTCACTGTCTTTGTGGAAAGTCAAAGTCAAAGCGCCCATGATATACTCTCATCGCCGCTCCAGAGCGACGTCATGTCCAATCGATCCTATTCGGAGAGCATACAGTTTCGACCGGTCAGCAATGCTTTGCTTAGTCCGGTACTACCCAAACAGCGGCCTATCGCTTTCTCCACGCCAAGCCAGCCAAGAGGAGCATTGGCATCGTCGTCCAAGGCGACGGCAATCAAACGGCAATCGCGAGGATACTCGGCAGAAAAATTCTTTAAACGCCTCAGTTCAGCTGGCGAGGCGTCTCCGAGACCTACTCAGAGCGTTTCTACATCAGCAGCGGCATCCTTTGGCAACACGAAAAGGGAGAGTTTACCCAATGCCAGGACGAGCATGGTTATCGCGGACCAACCTGCATCTACGAATAGGGTCCTGCAATCTCCACGTCCTCCACGGATGATCTTTGGACGAAACCGGCAAAAGGCGCTGAGTATGGGAACAAAGCCCGAAGCACTCGAACGATTGGACATGCATGCTTCTCCGGAATCGGGCGTTGAAAACATATCGTCCATTGCAACCCCCAAATCACCTCGGTCACCACCACCGCTGGCCGCTTCTCAATCGGAGCTCACCACCATCGTCGTACCCTCCAAGACCAGAAGTACGGGCAGAAAGGTGATTGAGTGGCTCAAGCGGAAAAGTCACGCTGTAGAGCCATCGCAGCCCACCGCGCCCAAATCCGTCTCCATACCCCGCGCAAACCTATCCGTTCATCCAGGCACGCAACCACTTTTGCCTGCTGGAGCCAAGACTGGTGGTTCTTATCGACCAGCACCGACAACAGATGAAAAGATACGAACACATTACGGTGTCTTTGACAAGGATGCCTTGACATCCATGGCGCCTCTCGACATCATGGCGGATATACGAACGACCTTGACGGAGATGGGCATCGGCCATGTTCAAGTCCATGAACTCAAGGTGCTGTGCACACGACCGCGTCGTGCATCCGCTCCTCCCAAATCACCTCGTATGGACAGTTTTAGTGCCAGACGGCTCTCTGCTACCGGATCACCCCTCGCGACCTTTTTCCGTCGTGGATCCCATCCGTTGCGGCGGCCCAACCAACCATGGACAATGCCCACCATCGAGAGCAGTTTGAATGCTCCATCATCGGATGCGCAACGTCAATTGGCCGATGAAGCATCACAAGAGTCCAATCCTGCCCTCCTAACCAAACCACCCACGTTCGCAGACAACGAAGCAACCCGTCCCCCGCAACCCCCATCGACCCTCTACGGCAATGCCACCCAAGACAGCGGCGACGAGATCCGCTTCCACGTGGAGGTATGCAAGGTCAAGCACATGCCGCATCTGTACGTGGTCGACGTGCACCGAATCCGGGGCAGCATCTGGTCCTTCAAGTTCATTTACGGTACCCTGTTGCGACGGCTTGGATTGCAACAAAAGGGCGGGTATATTCCTACACGGGAATCGATTTCGCATCTGCAAGGCAAGCTAGCGCCCACCCATCCTGCCACGAACCGGTCTGACACCTGGGGAATGCAAAGCCTGATCATTACAAAATGATCCAGAACGCAATGTGTAAATGGTCTTTATACCCCTTTCTTTTGATAGACAGATAGACTTGCGCCATCTATCGATATATACAATTGTTTTATCTATGACACCTCACCATTTAACCCACCGAGTAGCATTAGCAAACATATTCGCCCATAGATCCGTTTTCGCACAATCACTCGCCGCTCGTTTCGACAAGGCATCCGGAAGTTCCTTGGTCAAGGCAGCGACGCGGTTCTTATGCGAGGGATGGGTGGACAAGAATTGAGGAGATTGTGCATCGCCTTTAACGGCATTATGCGAAAGCTGCTCCATGCGCGTCCACATCTTGATGGCTTCCCTCGGGTCATAGCACGCCTGAGCCATTAGTTGAAGGCCAATGAAATCGGCCTCTGTCTCGCACTTTCGTGAAAAGGGCATCATGATGCCCAGGTTGTAAAAGAGTCGGTTGAAGAGCACACTCGGATCAATGACGGTTGATATGAGCAGCTGACCAACAAAGATGATTTTGGCAAAGGATAGTTTCTCCGCAGAGTGGCGGGCAAGTTGATGAGCGATTTCGTGTCCAAGAACGGCCGCCATGCCATCTGCAACACAGCTTCTCCTTCAGCATCCCAATATTGAACGACATACACGCGACCTGCCTTCATTGCCTACCACGGGCAAAATGCCGGTGAATACAAAGACTTTTCCTCCTGGAAGAACAAAGGCGCTGGCCAGTGTTGTCAGTGTCCATCACTAGATTCATCTAATGCATCACTCACTTCTTCTCATCGCTCTTGATGACATAAAACTCCCAATTGAGGCTTTCCATGCCCGATACCCGGATGATGCGCTCCGCAACCTTCTTGACAAATCGTGTATAAGGATGCCATGACGGAAGAATAGCAGATCCAAACTGTTGCATGACTTCTTGATAAGATAGCTTGGCGAGTGCTATAATACCATATCAGTTTTGCCTGTTTCGGGACGGCAGACAGCATGCCTTACCTTCCTCTTGCTTCGGGGTAATGTCAATGAATCGCCTTCGGCCACTGACTGGAACAGTCTCGAGGTGAGTGACATAGTACCCGCCAAAGATGGCCGTGCCAGTGCCAATAAATATCAAACGTCTCCGCTTGCGCAAGTCGTGGCCATGGCGATTCTGCTCGAATCGTTGATACTGTTCCTTGTTGGGCCCGTAGGTCTTGGGTGGAAACCGTTGCAGTTCATATCCTGGAGGTGGTCTACGTACGTTCTGGAACTGTCTAACCGGCGTCACCAATACCCTGTGTCGCACTCCTCCCAGCGCGCGTGAGGCAAACATGAACGGTCATCGTGACTGCACATGCCCATAACCGGTTATTATTACGTGGTTATCACGTGAACTTACGAATAGTATGAATTTTCCGATTTCTTCTACAACGAAGCGGAAATAGCTCAGCTGGGAGTAGCGTCAGACTGAAGATCTGGAGGTCCCGTGTTCAATCCACGGTTTCCGCATTATTTTTTGTATTTTTTTGCAGGTTCCCAGAGTGGTTCACCAGGGCTGCTGAGCACCTTCGGAGGCATATCGCTTGCTCCCTATCCTCCATTGTCGAACTTACAAGCGCCAAGAGCTGGAACATCGATATTTCCCCTATCGGTCTTTCATCCCGATTTGGAAATATGGAGACGAGTGCGCAAGGTGAGGACTTTTTTACCACCACTATCTCTTACTCTTGCCCTAAGCCTGGTACTTGTCTCACTAACCACCACGTCGAGTACAGTATTTTATTGACGTATCATCGACTTTGATCACTGCGAACTCTTTGACCGCCTCACTCTCATTTGATATTCCGAAAGGTGCCGGGGAAATAGCATACTCCGAGTGTGAGGGAGGTGCTCCTCATTAGCCAGACGTTGGTGTCGAAATGTCCTTCTTACCGGCTGTTCAGCAACCGGCGAATGGTTCGTCGACAGCGCGACCAAGTCAGTTAGCAAGTAACAACAGTTCGAGTTATTTTATCTTCAATACCGATTCAACCTACATCTTTGATCTTCAGTACCAGTTTGTCCAGGTCGATGCCAAGGGTCTATTGTCGGGAGCTCAGGGAACGAACGGCTTCACAATCAACAAGAATTTTGGATATGCTTTCACGACTTGGAGTAATATAGTTAATGTAGGTGACCGCCTTGATGTGAAGCCTGGCGCATCCTCACGTTGGTGTAGGCTGTGCTTGTAGACTATCGCACCGCTTGTCCTGAAGAAGCGGATGCGATTTTTCAAGCATTTCCGGCTACGCTCACGGCCATTTCTCCACCCATGATTATGGCCGCTGTGGATGGAGCCGGCAATTGCACTTGGGCCACAAAATTCCAGACGGTGGCCTCCATCACCCAACGCATTCCGTTTCCATCGGCAAATCGAGTACTTGGCAACTCTCCGGTCAATTCATTCGTACTTTACAACTCGTCTTCCACCGCCCAAACGGTCACTGGCGATGTCTCGGCTATCACTGCTTTAGCCAGCAATGGTAGCTATGAGATTATGTATTTCTATCCAAATTCCCAAGCTTTGATTACTCGGATCATCACGCAAGCTCAGATCGACAATGGAAATCTAAACGGCAACCCCAATGGCAATGAATTTGCCTCTTTATCTGCAGGCGTCTTTTCCAGCGCAAGCAATGGCGGTATCGTGGATCTGGGAACCATCTTCATCCTCATCATCTTTCCGCTCGTGATCATTGCTATTGGTAAGCAAGCCGTCTTCTAGCTGCTCCGACGTCCTGTAGATCGTCTGACTAACGCGTTTTGTGCGCTGCAGCCGTTCATCGATACAAATGGGTCTTTGAAGACGCCGGTCTGGCGCCTTGGAACCCATACAATTGGTACCTCGTGGTTACTGGCAAATACAAAAACCTTCCTGAATACATTGAGCGTCGGCGACAGGCCATTGCCTTACGCCAGCAGCGACAAGCTCAACAACATGCTCACGAACGGCCCAAAAAGGTCATTACGCCTGAGTGTTTGGAGGAAATGTATCCAGCCTTTGACATTGTCAGCGCTCGTCAAGCCGCTGATTCAAGTCCTGTTGGCATGGTTGCACCAGGCGGTGTATCCAGAGGTCCTATTCGAAACCAAGAATGCAACATTTGCCTGGATGAGTTTCCACGGACTGAAGATGAGCAAGCGCGCATGCCTACCCGGGATGCGCCGTCGGCGCAACTGGATTTACCGCAACGAGGACCTCGTATCGTACGACAACTCAACTGTGGGCACGCCTTTCACGTAGATTGCGTCGGTAAGTGAGATTGACTTGGACTTGTTGCAACCGCTCAATTCATTATATAGATATGTGGTTAACGACCAATTCTTCGCTGTGTCCGACATGTAAAACGGATTGTGATCCACTCACCCCAGCTCCGGAAGGCCAAGTCCCCGAAGCCTCTGGTGAACCGGTCGAGGATGGATCGCCTTCCAATCCACAGGTGGTCATTGATATGCATCACCCGTCTCCTCCAACCGCGTCCATACCGTCTGCGCCCACCACCGAGCCGACCATCTCGCTGCCTGAGCGAGCTCATACCGAGCCTTATCGATCGCCTGGCAACGCATCCTCTGAGCCTACCGCGTCCAAGAACGAGTCAGTGACGGAAGCGCCGATACCACCGCCTTATGGCGAAGATGTTCAAGGATCCGAGCTACGATCCAGTATCAAAGACGCGTCCCCTTGATCACCTTATCCCTTGTAACGATCTACGATCTATGTTACCCAAACTAGTCCTACATTCCTGTATTTTTCAAGTCTATGTGTACAAGCTTACGCAAAGAAGTTGATGAAAGACGTGTCAGAATGCGTCAATGTGGCCATGCACCACGACAGAGCACAGGGCATTGTCTTGTAAGCCTAATACAGGAACAACACTCAGAGTAGGTTCAAAAGGGGACGCGCCTTTGGACGCATCGTGAATGGCCTGCCTGAACGCTACGCGCGGGTCAGTCATTGGCATTCTTCGTGCACCCGAGGACTTACCTTGTTTCCATGTCGACGCCTTGTGGACGTCTTCAAGCACAAAGGCCTTGAAGGCATGCCCTCGGAAGGAGGGTTCGTCTTGCCTGCGGAAAAAGGAGAGCATCTCTTGCAATATAGATTGTGCATAAAAAGATGCATCGCGTAGTGTGGAATGATCTGGGAGCGGGCAAGAGTCAGATGATAGGTAGGATAGTGTTTAACAATGTCTTACCGTGGGGTATACAATGGATAGTATATGCGGCGAGTGGAGCGAATGTCGAGAACGTCCACTCCAAGCTCACCCTTGAATGGCTGACGTGTTGGGTTTCTATGAAAACGTTACCTATGAAAACGTTATTTTCCTGTGAACGCCTCCATAGATCGAAACCTACCTTGCTGATAGGTCAATATCGGCGTCGATTCCTTGACGCGTTGTCCGCTTCCGCCGCCGCCGCCGTCGTCGTCTGTGTCGTGTCCAGAATTGCGTGGTGGCGTATGCAAAAATGCCTGGCACTCACAAAGAGCACCTCTGGGAAGGGCTGGCACGGCCACACAGATGGTGCTCTGATGGATTCGCGTTGTCAGTTGTTGTATGCAAATTATGGAAGGATCGCGTTCTCGGACTACCTACCATATGTTGTTTAGCCCCAAGAGATTTGCGGTATGTGTGCCACGCTTGTCGAATGGTACGGATATCATTGGGTTTTGTCACGTACAAAAGCGCAAGGTACGCGTGAGACGAAACATCAAGGTTGAGAACAGTTGTGATTTGTGTCAAATTGCGCAGGGATAAGGATATCTCGGAAAGGAGATTGGATGGTGTTGGCAAACTGAGGGTGGCGGGTATCAAACCAATTTGTCCAGCAACATATGCTGCTTGATCCACCTAAACATCGGTTAGCATGCGCACCTGACAAAGGTCGTGTACTTACAATGGTAGCTTGAGAGTAGGGGCCAATATTCGCAGGTGCCCAGTATGACATGCTCTGTACGTGCATGGTCTGTCGCGTAGCGATACCTGCGCGCAATTTGTCTCCTGCGGCTGTTGAATCCTTGTAAGCCATACAGTCAATTTGTATCCGGCAAGGCGGTTCGAGGTTAGCGGCGACCAAAGCTCTACATCAAGGCCGACCGCGTTTAGGTCATGTGCACAGAAATGACGTGAAATCTACCTTGGAGGCGGATTGATGCCAAAGAATTGAGCATAAATCTGATTGACTTTGCCAAAATCGTTCATGTCGGTGACAAAGACATGCATTATCACGATATCACGCCAGGCAAGTCCCAGCCGCTGCAGGCGCTTCTCCAAGTTCTTCATGCATGCTAGTGTTTCCTGCTGTATATCGTTAATCCGGTTGTCCATGTCATCCTTGGAGTAGGCAGTAGTGCCGGCAACTGCAAAGTATGGCGCATAATCACACACTTCCAACGACGCTAAGCAAACCAAAGAATATGTCAGTCAATTGTCTGCGACACAAAGACATTATGCTCTTACCTACGCCGTCATTCAATGGCTCGGAAATGGTTTCTGTAGATTTACTTGCAGACACTACCGAATCCAGGTGCTTTCCGTCTGCCGTGGACATCTATCCAGCGGTATGAGCTACATCTTCCTCGTTGAACGGTTCGATTCGACCTTGCATACCTGTAGCTGACTAATAAACTCTGGATTCCAATCCGACCAGTCCGGAATCTTGACTAATTGGCGGACACCTTCCATGCTTCGTATGATCTCATGAGCCGCCTTCGCTTCAGTTCTACATTCCTTGAACGTCAGATATGCTACTGGTGCAAACATGTCGTTGCTATGAATGACGGTTTCGACTTGATCTCTGCATAGATTGGTCATGGCTTTGCCCAATACGCGTGCTTCGGTGCTGCTCACATGACAATCTTCTTGATAAACAATGGACAATCCAGAGTAAACGTTTCATATTCCCCGCCTTCACCGCAAACATGCAAATCGTACTTTTGGTTCTACAGATCCATAAAACATTAGTCCGTGCATGTGCGATCTTGACTTCGACTTACCAAGGCCTTCAATTGCGGCTCCATTTGAGCAAGGGTCTTGCCCAAGTGAAGGGGTTTAAGACCAATAGCGGCAACTTTGATCAGTATGGCTTCAACACCAGACTGAATCATATCCGAAAGCAGATCCTCTTGGGGTCTTCGCCACAGATAGGCAAGGGATGTGAGACCTAATCGCAAGCAGCTAACCGGCGTGGATCAATGAAGGCTCGAGCCATTTTCATCAAAATACCTACACATTCTCCACCCGAACCCGCTGATAGTTGGAAAGAATAGCACCGACTGAAACACCTTGCACCTCCGGATGGTTGCGCTAGACGCGCTGGTGGTCAGTAATCCATCCAACATCCATCTCCGTGCCCAAAGACAATTCACCTTGACATCTTGCAATAACCACATCAAATCTTCCGTTTCATCATCCTTATTGTATTCGTAATCGCCATCCTTCACCACCGAGCCACCCAGGATCTCTCGTCTG